ATAAGCTAATTCTAAAGTTTATCTAAAGATGCAAAGGACATGCTTGACATAGAATAACTAAAATACCAATCTAACCACATTATACTTTTGTTTAAACCTTTCACTGTTTTCCCACTGCATTCAGGGAAAAAAAATCTAAATTCCTCAGCACGGAAGGCAACGCACTTTATAGCATGACCCCTGCTTACCTCTCTCATTACATATAATACGCCTCCTTATAGTTTATATTATAGCCACATAGAATGAATAGCAGTTGCCAGAACATGCTGTACTGATCATGAGTCTGTATCTCATCATTTCTGCATGGAATACTCTCTCCTCGCTTGTCAATCTGATAATCTATGTTTTTAAGAATTAACTCAAGGTCAGCTACTCTGTGAAGTGTTCCCTGAATCCCTCAAGTTGAAACAGCAACTTCCTCTGTATACCCAAGCACTTACAATGTACCTCCATTGTAACATTTACCATACTACACAGTGGTAATCGATTTATATGTGTATCTCTCTGTTAGACTTTAAGGTCTAATGGAGATCAGGACCTGAGTTATCTTTTCTTGTTTTTTTTTTTAATCCTCACCCGAGGATATTTTTCCATTGATTTTTAGAGAGTGGAAGAAAGAGAGGGAAAGACAGAGAGAAATATTGACGTGAGAGAAACACATCGAGTAGTTGCCTCCTGCACACACCCCAATCAGGGCCTGGACCAGGGAGGACCCAGAAATTGAGGTACGTGACCTTGATCAGAATTGAACCCGGTTCCCTTTGGTCCACAGGCTGACACTCTATCCCAGCGGTTCTCAACCTGTGGGTTGCGACCCCTTTGGGGGTGGAACGACCCTTTCACAGGGGTCGCCTAAGATCATCGGAAAACACATATATAATTACATATTGTTTTTGTGATTAATCACTATGCTTTAATTATGTTCAATTTGTAACAGTGAAAATACATCCTGCATATCAGATATTTACAATATGATTCATAACAGTAGCAAAATTACAGTTATGAAGTAGCAACGAAAATAATTTTATGGAAGGGGGTCACCACAACATGAGGAACTGTATTAAAGGGTCGTGGCAGATTCTCATAGCCAGTTGGCCTGGAGGTCAAATCACCCCCAGTATTACCGACAACAATCAAGGCTTAACTACAACAAGACTGCGCACAAAGACCACAAGGGGGTGCACCAAGAAAGCATAAAAAATGCGGAGACAAAGAAACATGACAGAAATGGAGGATATAGAGCTCAAAACCGCACTTTTAAGGTCTTTCAATAATTTTCTAGAAACTGCCGATAAACTTAATGAGATCTACAAGAAATCTAATGAGACCCTCGATGTTGTGATAAAGAACCAACTAGAAATTAAGCATACACTGACTGAAATAAAGAATATTATACAGACACCAAACAGCAGACCAGAGGACAGCAAGAATCAAGTCAAAGATTTGAAAAGTGAAGAAGCAAAAAACACCCAACCAGAAAAGCAAAATGAAAAAAGAATCCAAAAATACGAAGATAGTGTAAGGAGCCTCTGGGACAGCTTCAAGCGTACCAACATCAGAATTATAGGGGTGCCAGAAGAAGAGAGAGAGCAAGATATTGAAAACCTATTTGAAGAAATAATGACAGAAAACTTCCCCTACCTGGTGAAAAAAATAGACTTACAAGTCCAGGAAGCGCAGAGAACCCCAAACAAAAGGAATCCAAAGAGGACCACACCAAGACACATCGTAATTAAAATGCCAAGAGCGAAGAGAACCAAGATGGCGGCATAGGTTAACACCGGAGTTTGCTGCTTTGAACAACTACTTCAAAAGTGAAACCAAAAAACGGAAGGGACATCACCCAGAACCACAGGAACGCTGGCTGAGTGGAAGCCCTACAACTAGGAGGAAAGAGAAACGCATACGGACACTCAGAGGAGGCGCAGTGCTGAAGTCAAATTCTGAGGTGCGGAGTGCACGGAGCGGGCTGGCGGCGGAGGGCGCGGTTGACGTTTTCAATCGGGAGGGAGTCGCAGAATCTGAGCTCCAGATCCGGGCGAGTCTTTAGGGACCCAGACTCAAACGGGAGAAGCGGGACTGTCTGGCTTCGGTCAGAGCGAGTGCAGCTTTCTCTCTGAGCTTTGCAGCGGGTGCTGGGACTCAGAGAGGCAGAGCCCCTGGGGACAGGACTGAGAGCTGCCATAACTGCTCTCTCCGGCCCACCCTGTTGATCCTGTTAGACCCGCCCCGCCCAAGCCCTGCACAGAGGCTTTTGCCGGATAGCCTCAGGCAAACGCCAGATTAGCACCACCCTAGAGGACAGAAGTTCTCTCACTGCTGACACAGCTGATTCTCATAGCCACTTGGCCTGGAGGTCAAACCCTCCCTGGAATTAGCTACAACAATCAAGATTTAACTATAAGACTGCGAACAAAGACCACTAGGGGGTGCACCAAGGAAGCATAACAAAATGCGGAGACAAAGAAACAGGACAAAATTGTCAATGGAAGATATAGAGTTCAGAACCACACTTTTAAGGTCTCTCAAGAACTGTTTAGAAGCCGCCGATAAACTTAATGAGATCTACAAGAAAACTAATGAGACCCTCGATCTTATATTGGGGAACCAACTAGAAATTAAGCACACTCGGACTGAAATAACGAATATTATACAGACTCCCGACAGCAGACCAGAGGAGCGCAAGAATCAAGTCAATGATTTGAAATGCGAGGAAGCAAAAAACACCCAACCGGAGGGGCGGAATGAAAAAAGAATCCAAAAATGCGAGGATAGTGTAAGGAGCCTCTGGGACAGCTTCAAGCGTACCAACATCAGAATTATAGGGGTGCCAGAAGATGAGAGAGAGCAAGATATTGAAAACCTATTTGAAGAAATAATGACAGAAAACTTCCCCCACCTGGTGAAAGAAATGGACTTACAGGTCCAAGAAGCGCGGAGAACCCCAAACAAAAGGAATCCAAAGAGGACCACACCAAGACACATCATCATTAAAATGCCAAGAGCAAAAGATAAAGAGAGAATCTTAAAAACAGCAAGAGAAAGAAACTCAGTTACCTACAAGGGAATACCCATACGACTGTCAGCTGATTTCTCAAAAGAAACTTTGCAGGCCAGAAGGGAGTGGCAAGAAATATTCAAAGTGATGAATACCAAGAACCTACAACCAAGATTACTTTATCCAGCAAAGCTATCATTCAGAATTGAAGGTCAGATAAAGAGCTTCACAGATAAGGAAAAGCTAAAGGAGTTCATCACCACCAAACCAGGATTATATGAAATGCTGAAAGGTATCCTTTAAGAAGAGGAAGAGGAAGAAAAAGGTAAAGATACAAATTATGAACAACAAATATGCATCTATCAACAAGTGAATCTAAGAATCAAGTGAATAAATAATCTGATGAACAGAATGAACTGGTGATTATAATAGAATCAGGGACATAGAAAGGGAATGGACTGACTATTCCTGGGGGGGAAAGGGGTGTGGGAGATGCGGGAAGAGACTGGACAAAAATCGTGCACCTATGGATGAGGACAGTGGGTGGGGAGTGAGGGCGGAGGGTGGGGCGGGAACTGGGAGGAGGGGAGTTATGGGGGGAAAAAAAAGAGGAACAAATGTAATAATCTGAACAATAAAGATTTAATTAAAAAAAAAAAGAACATAAAAATAAATAAATAAATAAAAAAAAATAAAATAAAATGCCAAGAGCAAAAGACAAAGAGAGAATCTTAAAAGCAGCAAGAGAAAGAAAGTCAGTTACCTACAAGGGAGTACCCATACGAATGTCAGCTGATTTTTCAACAGAAACTTTGCAGGCCAGAAGGGAGTGGCAAGAAATATTCAAAGTGATGAATACCAAGAATCTACAACCAAGATTACTTTATCCAGCAAAGCTATCATTCAGAATTGAAGGTCAGATAAAGAGCTTCACAGATAAGGAAAAGCTAAAGGAGTTCATCACCACCAAACCAGTATTATATGAAATGCTGAAAAGTATCCTTTAAGAAGAGGAAGAAGAAGAAAAAGGTAAAGATACAAATTATGAACAACAAATATGCATCTATCAACAAGTGAATCTAAGAATCAAGTGAATAAATAATCTGATGAACAGAATGAACTGGTGATTATAATAGAATCAGGGACATAGAAAGGGAATGGACTGACTATTCTTGGGGGGGGAAAGGGGTGAGGGGGATGCGGGAAGAGACTGGACAAAAATCGTGCACCTATGGATGAGGACAGTGGGTGGGGAGTGAGGGTGGAGGGTGGGTGGGAACTGGGAGGGGAATTATGGGGGGGAAAAAGAGGAACAAATGTAATAATCTGAACAATAAAGATTTAATTAAAAAAAAAGGTACATGGGGGACATCTGCAATAGTATCAACAATAAAACATTTATTTATTTATTTATTTATTTTTTAAAATATATTTTATTGATTTTTTACAGAGATGAAGGGAGAGAGATAGAGAGTCAGAAACATCGATGAGAGAGAAACATCGATCAGCTGCCTCCTGCACACCCTCCACTGGGGATGTGCCCGCAACCCAGGTACATGCCCCTGACCGGAATCGAACCCGGGACCCCTCAGTCCTCAAGCCGACGCTCTATCCACTGAGCCAAACCGGTTTTGGCAACAATAAAACATTTAAATAAAAGTAAAAAAATAAATAAAAGGGTCGTGGCATTAATAAGATTGAGAACCACTAGAGGTTGAGTTATCTTTTCAATTCTGTACCCCAGTGCTAATATATAACTTGGCACATATAGATTAACAGTAAGTATTGAGTATGAGGTGTGTGAATCCCCACTATTTCTCAACCTTTTTTTCACACAGCAATAGAGTATTCCTATGTTCCTAATTTAAAGAGGCCAGTCTCCAGTCAACAGAGTCCTAGTCTTCTCTCATTTATCCTCCTCTCTTACCCTCATAAAAACGACAAATCATTGGGATCAAACACCCTAAAAGTTTTATAAGTGCATGTCATTACCATAGCTCACCTTCAAATCCAACACGCTCAAGCAGGTTTAATGGGTACCAAATTAAAGGTTTGTTCCCAACTGGAAGAAGAGGTTTAGGAATGCTGGAAGTCAGGTCTGTCATCCGAGATCCCCCTCCAACTGCCATTACTACTGCTTGAAATTCCATTTTTACCAACTGCAATCACAGAAAAAACAATTAACAGGGGAAAAAGTAACAAAAATTGAAGCATACACACGAATAATGCTATTTCTATGTAGGCTATTGATACCCACCATGTCAAATGCATCACTCCCAAGTCCAATAACCAGATAAGAAAGGTTCCTTAGCTGTAGTAAACATAATCTTTATCATATTCTCTTACCAATACAGGGTGAGGCAAAAATTGTAATTCTTTGTATGGCAAACCCTGTATCATAAAAGCCTAATATGCTAAGTGTCTGGTTGACCGGTCAGCCATTCAACCAATCAAAGCATAATATGCTAATGATATGCTAAGGCTGCTCAACCGCTCACTATGACATGCATTGACCACCAGGGGGCAGGCGCTCCGACCGGTAGGTTAGCTTGCCGGTGGGGTCCCTTGGCCATGCCTGTACCCTTTCGCAATCCGGAACTCCTTGGGGGATGTCAGAGAGCTGGTTTCGGCCCAATCCCACAAGCCAGGCTGAGGGGCCCACAGGTGCACAAATTTGTGCACTGGGCCTCTAGTAATATAATAATCTATATAATAAAAGCCTAAGCAACTGTTATGGGGCACAACGACCAGAACGATCGGTCGCTATGATGAGAACTGACCACCAGGGGGCAGATGCTTATCGCAGGAGCTGCCACCTGGTGGTCAGTGCGCTCCCACAGGGGGAGTGGTGCTCAGCCAGAAGCTGGGCTCACGGCTAGCGAGTGCAGCGGCAGTGGTTGGAGCCTCTCCGACCTCTGTGGCAGCACTAAGGAGCAGCGAACCAAGTGTTAAGGAGCAGCGAGCAGGCGGGCGGTAAGGAGCGAGGGGTACTGGACTGTGAGAGGGCGCAGGCTGGGCTGAGGGCACACCGTCACCCCCCACCCCCCAGAGCATGAATTTCATGCACCAGGCCTCTAGTTAAATAAACAATAATACAAGAATAAACTGTATGTTTCACTTATAGTTCTTACAACCTCAAACCTACTTTTGCGCCACCCTGTATATACTCCAGCTGGGCAGATAGGCTGGAGAAGGAATATAAATTTAAAAAATCTGGCCTCTGCCCTTGAATTGCTCACAATTAAGTAGAGAAGACAAATTCAGTAAATTATAACATGCTATCATTAGTGCTATTGCAGAGATATACTGAGTGGCCAGATTATTATGACCGGCCAGATTATTATGACCACCCCATCAGTACTTCATTGACACTTCCAAAAACAGTGAATATTGAAAACTTCCTAAGCAAATACTCTCAAGGTTTTATTATTATTTTTTTACTTTTTTTATTTTTTAAATATATTTTATTGATTTTCCAGAGAGGAAGGGGGAGGGATAGAGAGTTAGAAACATCGATGAGAGAGAAACATCGATAAGCTGCCTCCTGCACATCTCCTACTGGGGATGTGCCTGCAACCAACATACATGTCCTTGACTGGAATCGAACCCAGGACCTCTCAGTCCCCAGGCCGACGCTTTATCCACTGAGCCAAACTGGCCAGGGCTCAAGGTTTTATTATTATTATTATTATTATTATTTGCATAACTAATTCACTTCATTGTACTGGTGGGGTGGTCATAATAATCTGGCCACTCAGTGTATATCCAAGATGAAGTAGGCAAATAGTGAAGGTAATACCTGAGTTTTCTTAGAAAAGACAGGGAAGGTTTTATAGAAAGTAATACTTGCACTGACTCTTGAAGAAGTAATAGTTTACGAAGTGGGCTTCTGATTCAGTTCCTATTCCTTGAAACTTTCTATAACTTCTGGCTAAAATCAACTGCACACTACAAGCATAGTAGGTCTCTGAAAAGTATGAAATGACTTAAGATTCCTCCAATAATTCAGCCAATTGCTCCCATCTTCTCATTACCCCCAACTATACTAAACACAAATGTAGGCTTGTATCTGGATTTAGATTTGAAAAGCTCAATTGCAGAAACAATCCAAATGAATTCCTTTTTAGGAATCCAAATTTAAGGAACCTATCTGACCTTCAAAAGAATCTCTTTACAGCAGCTACCACAGAAAAGAGGCACAGTGAAAGGTCATAAATCCGAATTGATTAAAAATAAAAGCACTCTTTGCCCCGGTCAGGTAGCTCAGTTGGTTGGAGCGTCGTCCTCTACACCAAAAGGTTGTGAGGTCGATTCCAGGCAGGGCACATACCTAGGTTGTGGGTTCGTTCCCAGGTTGGAGCACATCTGGGAGGTACGGATCAATGTTTCTCATATAGATGTTTCTCTCTCTCTCTCTAAACATATCCTCGGATGAAGATTAAAAAAATAAAAATATTCTTTGACGTTTTGACTTACAACAAATAATGCAATCTTTTTAATACAAGTGTGAAATGCAATGTTCAGAAAAAGATATTTATTTAACATAAAACTGGCAAATAATGTTGCACCTTTACCATCATTATGATCAGTCCTGGGCCCCTCGCATTAATATCTAAACTGCAGTGCTTACACTCAAAATGAATGCTTTTGAACAATGTTCAGACTTAAAGATATGGTAGTTTCGATGGCAGCAAGCATGGACTCAGATTAGAATTTAACTTCAATCTGGCACTCTATAACACCCCTCACATCTGACGTTATTAAGAGTAGAGCACTGGCCTGGCTGGTTTGGCTCAGTGGATGGAGCATTGGCCTGCAGACTAAAGGGTCCCGGGTTCGATTCTGGTCAGGGGCACATGCCTGGGTTGCAAGCTCGATCCCCAGTGGGAGCATGTGGGAGGCAGCCAATCAATGATTCTCATCACTGATGTTTCTTTCTTTCTTTCTCTTTCTTTCTTTCTCTCTCTCTCTCTCTCTCTCTCTCTCTCTCTCTTTCTCCCCCTTTCTCTCTAAAATCAATAAAAATATGTTTTTTTTAAAAAAATAGAGCACTGGTCCTTCCGGAGCCAAAAGGCCCGAGTCTGAGTTCTGGTTCTGCCATTTACAGGTGGTGTGACCAGGGGCCTGACATTTACAACTCTTCGCGTCCTCAGTTCCCAGAAAGGAGCCTGGCGGTAAGTGCCCTGGAGCCAGAGGGGCTGGGTGTGAATTCCAGCTCCACCAGGTGAGCTGTGCGAGCAGGGTGAGCACATCACTTTCCTAGGCCTCGCTTTTCTTCATGGTCTAAGTGAGGATAAGGATCGTTTCTACGGCACAGAGTTGTGGGGGAGAAATGAGTTAAGCTACGTAAGGCTCACAAAATAACGCCAGCCCCAGGCCAGCGCTATAAAAGCTAGAATTATTAGCGCTGCCAATGACCCACGCTGCTGTATCGCTCCGGTCTGTGTTACCATTCCTGTTTCCCAGGCGCCTTTCCCGGGGCCCAGTAGTCACCGATTACACTTGAAGACTCAGTGGTAAGAACCATCTGGCCTAAGCAGTCATTCCCCACCCTGCCCACCCCCTGGTAGAGCGGCTCCCCCCCTCCCCCCCAGGTGCTGCTCTCCACCATGTCCAGACGCCTCTGCCTTCACAGGCATTAACGCCCATGGACTTCAATGTCCGTTCCCCTCGAGGTCCTTGAAGGCGGGGGCTGTGTCATCGCTGTATTATTCCGGGACCTCACACCCCCCCATCCCCATCCCCACCCCGCCAGGCGCCAGGCACTCGGCGTCTGGGAATGAGCGTCTGTGGCCCTCACCACCCTGCGCAGGGGGCGAACCGGTGCAGACGGACAGACCGCAGAACCAGCGCGCCGGCCGGGACCCGGGGCTCCTCGCTCTCTGCGAGGCTCTGGGCGACAACACGGACATAACTATCCGCGACGCCAGGCGGCTGTCGATGCCTCAGAGTCACTGCCGGGACCCGGTGGGATGGGAATCAAGGCAACGTCTCTCCGCGGCCTCTCGAGTGGGAGAGGGCGGTCAGGGCAGCGCAGACACGCTTCCATCACAGCCCCAGGGCCTCATCCCTTTGTAACCGGGTGAGAGAAAACACGGTGTCATAATCGATCTCTCACACGGAGCTTACTGTATTCCATCTTATATGTCACTGCCTTGCACCTAAACAACTACAAACAGGAGCATCGTGAACGAAGGGCTCACGTGGAAGGAGTTCGGGCGCTGCGCTAAGGGCGTCGGGTCCTGGGTGTGGGGTTCACGCGCTGGGACTTCGGCAGATCCTCCGCCTCCTGACACTCAGTTTCACCACCTGTTGCACGAGGTGGTTGGCGCGGGTTCTCCCCAGGTTCTCTTCTAGTTTGGACACTTGGCTTCCCGGCCGGCCGGGTCGCGCAGGGACTCGAGCTGGCGACTCTAGGGCTCTGCACGCCCGTGTACCCCCTGAGGCCCTCCCAGGCGAGGCTCGAGGGGCCGCCTCCCTCGGATGAAGCGGGGCTGGGTGGCCAGCACAGTGCTCCACGCCCCCGCCCGGCAGCTCGAAGGCGGCCGGGCAGCGCCAGAGCCGCAGACTTACCTCAGCTCCCGGCGCGCCGCCGCTCCCCGCACTCCGCACGCCGCCTCCGATTGACAGCCGAAGGCGCAGGCGCGCGATGGCCGAGCTGATCGATGGGACGGGACGGAACGGGCCGAGCGCCGAGCGGTAGATTGAGGACCAGAGGCGCGCGCACCTCCGGGGGAAAGTAGGCGGGGCCGCCCTTGCTCTTCATTCACAAATCACCAACACCCACTGAGGGTCCCTCCCAGTGCTGGGCTCCTGGAACCCAGATCGGAAAAGATCACGGTCTTCCTGCAGGGAGTTCTCCTTCTAGAACCTGGTTCCGACTACCACTCCGTGAAAAGAGAGCTCATTTGGGAACCGCAGTTTTGGATTAGCCTGTGGAGAAATCACCAAATGCCTGTGCAGGACAGGGCTCTCTACATCCATGAGGTCCAACGTGGCGACTCACGTCGACTTTCTGAATTATTGCACGGAAAACATCCACATTCAGCCATCAAAAGAGTGGGGGGTAGGGGGAAATCCTTCAATGGAGACCTCACTGAGTCAGTGACACTGGACAGCTTGAAGAGAGCGAGTCAAGTGGAGATCTTGGGTAAGAACCTTCCAAGAAGACTGGCCAGCAAGCACAAAGGCCCTGGAGAGACTGCATGTTCGAAGAGCACCCAAAGAAGCCAACAGGACTGAAGGGAGGTAAGCTGCGGGAGATGGATGATGGCCCAGGAGGTCGGAGAGGCAATAGGGGAAAAGGCGGAGAATTCAGATCCTGTGGGCCTTATAGGCCATTGTGAGGACCCTGAATTAAATAGAAGGGACATAATATGACAGGTTTGGGAAGGATCACCCTGGAAGCAGAGAGACTATTTAAGAGGCTGCAACTGCACAAACACCTGAGTCTAGACAACTCCAACAATTGTGAGAGATGATAAAATAATTGTTTTAAGTAGTAAGTTTAGGGTGGTTTGTTAAATTGCAGTAGATTACAAGAACAATGGTCATTCTCTCTTTCCCACACATTCCTGCAATTTCCCAATATTTTGGAAGCCTCCTGATGGGCAGCCTCCTGCACCCCCGCCCCCCCCCCCCCCACGGGGAATCAAGCCCAGGAATTCTGCTGAGACATCCTGGTTCATAGGTCGAAGCTCAACCACGGAGCCACACCGGCCCAGATATATCTATCGCTAAACGTTGAGTTGCTTTAGCTCTCTGTCAGTTAGGAGGCAGTCTAATTTCTGTAATAAAAAAGAAAAGAAAAGGAGTTTAACTTCATTTAACAGTATTTATTGAGTGCCTAACATGTGCAAAGCAGTCTTAGATGCTAGCTGGTGGGGATACAGCAGTCAGTGAGAAAGACAGAACTTGTAATTGTCCCCAGAGAATAGAAGCTCAGCTGCAATCCTACTAAAAAGAAAGACCTGAGGCCATATCCATAAACCAGCCTTATTCCAGCACTGCCTCCTCCTTCACTTTATGCTGCTGGTGATCCGTTATTGCATACTTATTTATTTTAACTCAACTATAACACTGAGTGTATTGGTAAAAGCGAGCCATGGTGTGATTGATTTGACTACAAAAGGCCCGAAATTTAACTACTTTTTCCTTCTGCGGCAAGATTCTCTCTCTCTTTAGTATAAGCTCAAGCAAACAGAAGCCTTCAAAATTATAGCATAATTTTAAAGTAAGATCTAGTTATAAAACAAGGACAACATTCAACTCCATATCTAGTGTTCATTTAAAATGCTCGTGTTTGAACTAGCAAAAGTTTTCAGGGAACTAGTTGAGGGAAAGTAGTTGAGGGATCGCTGCATTTAAACTCATTTTAAATTATTCTCTCAGGGCAGTGGTTTTTAAACTTTTTGGTCTCTGGACCCTTTACACTCTTAAAAATTATTGAGACCTCCCAAGAACTTTTGTTTATATGAATTATATTTATTGACATTTACCATATTAACAATTTAAATTGAGAAATTAGAAAAACTATTCATTTAAAAAATAAAAATAATAAAACTACTACATGGGAACATAAATAACATTTTTATGAAAACATATAACTATGTTTTCAAAATAAAATATTTTATTGAGAAGAATGTCATGGTTTTGCCTTTACAGATCTCTTTAACGTTTGGCTAAGTAGAAAATAGTTGGATTTTCCCATCAGTTGTGATACATTGTTTTGGCTGAATTGTATGATGAAAAACTGACCTCACACAGATAGGTAATTGGAAGAGAGATATTTTAATAGCTTTGTCAAATAGTTGTAGGTATTCATCTTTGATACTACACCAAAACTCAGTGATAGCTTGTAAAGATTAGTTGCAATGTAGAATCATTATATCAATGAACATTTTGTACTGTTATAATACTTGCACTTTGAGTGGACATTTTACCCATGCTTAATTTTGCAACTTGATGCACTGATCATTTGTAAAATATTGGTTCACTGAGTTATGCAGATCCTCCCAATGTTGACAATATTTTTTAAAATTTATCTTTATTGTTGAAAGTATTACAGATGCCCCCCTCCCTCCCCCCGCATCAACCCCTTTCATCCCCCTTAGGGCTTCACTGCACTAGTGTCTGACCGTGGGTTATGCATATAACTTCTTTGGTTAATCTGTCTCCCTCCTCCCCTGTCTCCCCTTCCTTCTGAGATTTGTCAGTCTGTTCCACGCTTCCATGTCTTTGGATCTATTTTGTTCATCAGTTTCTTTTATTTATTTATTTTTTTTCTTTATTTTATTTTTTTTTCATTTTTTTTTTCAATTTTATTGCTTGCAGTCTTACAAAGGGTATTACATATGTGTCCCTTTTTCCCCCCACCCTTGACAATCATCAGTTTCTTTTATTAATTAGATTCCACATATGAGTGAAATCCTGTGATGCTTATCTTTCTCTGATTGGCTCATTTCACTTAGCATAATACTCTCCAGGTCCTTCCATGTTGTCTCAAAGGATAAGATATCCTTCTTTTTCACAGCTACATAGTATTCCACTGTGTAAATGTACCACAGCTTTTTTATCCACTCATCTACTGATGGGCATTTGGGCTGTTTCCAGATCTTAGCTATTATAAATAACATAGGGGTGCATTATTCTTTCTGGTTAGTGTTTTGAGATTCTTAGGTTATATTCCTGTAAGTGGGATCACTGGGTCAAATGGCAGTTCCATTTTTTTTTTTTTTTTTTTTTTTGAGAAAACGCCATACTGTTTTCATAATGGCTGCACCAGTCTGCATTCCCACCAGCAGTGTTCTAGGGTTCTTTTTTCTCCATAACTTGGCCAGCACTTGTTGTTCTGGCAGGTATGAGGTGATACCTTATTGTCATTTTAATTTGCATCTCTCTGATGATTAGTGATGAACATTTTTTCATAAGTCTCTTGGCTATTTGTATGTCCTCTTTGGAGAAGTGTCTGTTCAAGTCCATTTAAAAAAAATAAGTTTTCATTGATTTCAGAGAGGGAGAGGGAAAGATAGAAACATCAAGGACAGAGAAACATTGATCGGCTGCCTCCAGCACAGCCCCTACTGGAAATCAAGCCTGCAACCTGGGCATGTGCCCTGACTGGGAATCGAACCAACAGCCTCCTAGTGCATGGGATGATGCTCAACCAACTGAACCACATCAACCGGACTGCCCATTTTTTTAAAAAAAAATGTATATATTTTATTGATTTTTTACAGAGAGGGAGAGGGATACAGTTAGAAACATCGATGAGAAACATTGATTCAGCTGCCTCTTGCATGCCCCCTACTGGGGATGTGCCCGCAACCAAGGTACATGCCCTTGACCGGAATCGAACCTAGGACCCTTCAGTCCGTAGGCCAATGCTCTATCCGCTGAGCCAAACCGGTTAGGGCAGGACTGCCCATTTTTTAATTGGATTGTCTTCCTTCTGTTGAGTTGTATGAGTATTTTATATATTTTGGAAGTTAACTCCTTATCAGATGTATCATTAGCAAATATGTCCTCCCATACAGTGGTTCCTTTTTCATTTTGATGCTGGTTTCTTCTGCTGTGCAGAAGCTTTTTAGTTTGATGTAGTCCCATTTGTTTATTTTTCCTTTATTTCTCTTGCCCTTAATTTATACAATGTTTTTATTTTTACTTATTTTTAAAATAATTCTTTATTGTTGAAAGTATTATATATGTCCTTTTCCCCCCACTTGACCCCCACAGTCCCTTGCCCCCCATACAATATTTTTAAAATAACATTTGTTACTGTCACCACTAATTTCATCAGAAAAGTCCTTAAATATTGGAAAGCTGGCAAGCTGATAATGACAGATACAACTTTTCCAAACTTCTGATTTTCTTTTGAAAGCTCAACTATTATCATTGGCAACAAATACTGTTAGTGGTTTTCCTTGAAGTGGCTGGCTTACTCCATTTTGATCATTTGTTGGCCATATATTGTCAATTGTTCTTTCAAGTAAATATAGTGTTCTATGAAAAAAGCAGTAGTTCACATATCAAACATTCAGGTAAGTGCTTTTTCTGGAGACAAATCATCATACTTCTTTAGTATGTACATTTCCTATTTCATCACAGAATATTAAAAAGAAATGTACCCAATGAGCAAATTTAATAAAATTATTTTATTGCATTATCAAAGACATTCTTAAGTGAAACTTACTTTGCTTTATTATTTTTATTGCAAGTGTGTGTAAGTAACTATGAACACAGTGTGGTATCACTGCTTTGATCCATGCAGAGCACCAGCAGTTTCACATTATTGCTTTTGCACCATCAGTGTCAATATCAATACAATAAAAGAGGCAAATAGTGTCTTAATATTATTAAGAAAATAGTTTTGACCTGACAGATACCCTGCAAGTGTCTTACTTTAAGAGCTGCTGTCTGTGGATTCCTTCTTTCTGGCTCCCACTGTTTCTAGTGCTTACCTATGGCACTCACCATAAAGGACTGTCATCCCCTTTTCCATGTCTTCTCTATCACACTGGAAACCCTTTGAGGCTATATCTTACTTGCTCCTCTTTCCAGAACAGGACATTTCATATCACAGGACTTGGGACATGCTAAGTAAATAATAGTGAATGAATTAAACATTTTTAAATGTTTTCCTGACTTTCCATTTGGTGTTGGGAAAACTGGGCTGAGGGCTGGGGTCACTGAGATCTCGTCTCCTGAACATTCCTTCTTATGACGTCAGTCTATATTATTATCTCTCATGCCTAACCTCATGCTTATTGTTTATTTTTATTTATTAGTCACATGGGAAGTACTTGATAAATGCTTACTGAACACAGGCTGTTCCCTGTTTGTTTCCTGCTCACATTTCTTCTGCCAGAGGCATTTGTGTGTATGTGTTTGTATGTTGTGGGGAACAGTTTCAGAAGGTCAATCTCTGAAGGTCTCTTTGAACAATGGGAGACAAAAGAAACCTTTCAAAAGTTGGGCCTTGGCTCAGAAATACTCTTCCCACAGTCTATCTGCAAGAGATCTCTCTTTGGGAATTTGCTGGCCATGTCACAATATTCATCTACTCCATTTGGCTGTGGACTTGTCAATGGGGCAGGAATTATTATTTTTAGAGGGGAAAGAGAAACTCTACTTTGGCAACCAACTGCAGGCATAAAAATATTTATGTTTTGTTT